AGATCCTGAGGTTGTCGAAGTCACAAAATAACACTTTTGGATTTTCTAGACAAGATCAGTGAAAATTAAAATTATACGTTTTTCATTGTTATTTAATTTTTCAAAAATTCGTCAAAATTGTGTGAATCTTAAAATCTGATTGTTGTTAAGGGCCGTAAATGTCATAATGTACTGACCTAAACACTGTTGACACAAAAAATGAAAGGCCTGGTTTGAAATTTCACATTGATTGTCACAAAAATCGTAAAGTTTTCAAATGGAGATTATCTAATTAAAAGAATAAAAAAATATCTGTATTTTCGTCGTACGCACGTTATTTCCAGATCACTCACATCTGTAAAACTTAAAAATAAAAGTTCCCTACCTACCCACCCATTTTTAATGCGTCATCTATAACAAAAAAAAAAAATTTTCGTGAAATTTCCTAAAAAAACTCTTTATCCAGGAAACATATTATAATAACATAGTCACTGATTTCCTCTATATAATCAAATTTTTGAGTTTATTAGACATTTAAAAATTTTTTGTTAAAAAGAAAAATTAATCTTCTCATTACAAAAAAAAAAGAAATATATAATATATTTTCTTGAATGTTGAAATCCTGAGGTTGTCGAAGCCACAAAATAACACTTCTGGATTTTCTAAACAAGATCAGTGAAAATTAAAATTACACGTTTTTCATTGTTCTTTAATTTTCCAAAAATTCGTCAAAATTGTGTGAATCTTAAAATCTGATTGTTGTTAAGGGCCGTAAATGTCATAATGTACTGACCTAAACACTGTTGACACAAAAAATGCAAGACCTGGTTTGAAATTTCACATTGACTGTCACAAAAATCGTCAACATTTTCAAATGGAGATTATCTAATTAAAAAAAATAAAAAAATATCTGTATTTTCGTCGTAAGCACGTTATTTCCAGATCACTCACATCTGTAAAACTCAACTCCCACAAAAATATTTTACTATAATAAAAATAAAAGTTCCCCACCCACCCACCAATTTTTAATGCGTCATCTATAACAAAAAAAATATTTTCATGAAATTTCCTAAAAAATCTCTTTATCCAGGAAACAGATTATAATAACATAGTCACTGATTTCCTCTATAATCAAATTTTTGAGTTTATTAGACATTTAAAAATTTTTTCTTAAAAAGAAAAATTAATCTTCTCATTACAAAAAACAAAGAAATAATATATTTTCTTGAATGTTGAGATCCTGAGGTTGTCGAAGCTACAAAATAACACTTTTGGATTTTCTAAACAAGATCAGTGAAAATTAAAATTACACGTTTTTCATTGTTATTTAATTTTTCAAAAATTCGTCAAAATTGTGTGAATCTTAAAATCTGAATGTTGTTAAAGGCCGTAAATGTCATAATGTACTGATCTAAACACTGTTGACACAAAAAATGAAAGACCTGGTTTGAAATTTCACATTGATTGTCACAAAAATCGTCAAAATTTTCAAATGGAGATTATCTAATTAAAAAAAATAAAAGAATATCTGTATTTTCGTCGTAAGCACGTTATTTCCAGATCACTCACATCCGTAAAACTCAACTCCCACAAAAATGTTTTACTATAATTAAAATAAAAGTTCCCCACCTACCCACCCATTTTTAATGCCTCATCTATAACAAAAAAAAATATTTTCATGAAATTTCCTAAAAAAACTCTTTATCCAAGAAACATATAATAACATAGTCACTGATTTCCTCTATAATCAAAATTTTGAGTTTATTAGACATTTAAAAATTTTTTGTTAAAAAGAAAAATTAATCTTCTCATTACAAAAAAAAAGAAATAATATATTTTCTTGAATGTTGAGATCCTGAGGTTGCCGAAGCTACAAAATAACACTTTTGGATTTTCTAAACAAGATCAGTGAAAATTAAAATTACACGTTTTTCATTGTTATTTAATTTTTCAAAAATTCGTCAAAATTTGTAAATCTTAAAATCTGATTGTTGTTACGGACCGTAAATACCTTAATGGATTCACCTAAACACTGTTGACACAAAATATAAAAGACCTGGTTTGAAATTTCACATTGATTCTCACAAAAATCATTAAACTTTTCAAATGGAGATTAACTAATTTAAAAAATAAAAAATAAAAAAATATCTGTATTTTCGTCGTAAGCACGTTATTTCCAGATCACTCACATCTGTAAAACTCAACTCCCACAAAAATATTTTACTATAATAAAAATGGAAAAGGGATGTTTTTAAGTATTGTATTATAGGAAAAAAATAAAGCCGCAGATTAGGCCCCATTGATACCCGCTCCGATCCCAATTCTCGATTGTCATGAATTTTTCATTCGTTGTCAGATCGAGGGGCAGGGCTTTATTGCAAGATCCATATTTGTCTAGAAGAATTTACCGTTTTAAACATGTTTTAATTTTTTTGTTCTGACAAGACGACCACACATATTAAGAAAAAAGGCAAAATATAAACCCCGCCCACCCGCCCTGTCTCAGTTGTGACGATTTTTTTTATCGTCGAGAGCCAAAGGAACAGAATTTAATTGCAAAATCCTTATTATTTCTCTGCAAGAAATTACCATGTAGGACATGTTTTCGAGTATACTAGGTACATTACGAAGAAATTAAAACCAAAGATTAAACCCCACCCATACTTGCTCTGATCTAAATAGTGATGAAGTTTTCATTCGTTGGCAGACCTAGGGGAGGAGCCTAATTGCAAAATCCATATTTCCTTACAAAAATTTACCATTTAAAACGTGTTTTATGTTTCTATGAATAAAAAAAATCATGGTGGGTGGGGTTAATATTTTGCCTTTTTTCTTAATGTACATTGGATTCCTCGAACGACACGATACTCGAAAACATGTTTTTAATTGCTTTTAAAAATTTATTTTGCAGTTAAGCTTGGTTCATGGAGAATAAAAAAAATCATCACAATTGAGATAGGGCGGGTGGGCGGGCTTATATTTTGCCTTTTTGTTTTAATATGTGTAGACTTCTTTTCACAACATGAAATTTAAAATATGTTTAAAATGACAAATTTATAAAGAAATATGGAAGTTGTTCCGGAATTATTTTGTACATAATCGCTGTGTACTAAGAGATACATTGTTGAGTTTTACCCACGCCGATTTTAATTACCGATCATCGTAATAATACGATAACGAATAAAATTCAGTACAATTTTCCTTCTTATTTGTTTTCCAATATCATATCTTCATTTAGCAAAACACAGAAATGGCACGAGCTTCTGAAGAAGAATGAAGTACTCTCCAAATTCTTTACACTACGTTCATTATTCTGTTCTATAACATTGTTGATTAGGAGTATTATTTTTGCCTATATATTATTATTTTATTTTTCATTTAGTAGTCAATTATTGGTCAAAAGAAAAGTTTTTAACGGAAAAAGACTCGATAATTCCTGTTACACAGTTTTGTTCATCTATCTAAAGAAACTAGAAGAAGAAATGAAGAAGAATGCAACAATGAAGAAGAAGCTTCTTGCACTCTAGACGAAACAAACTGTTGATAATGTGGTGATGAATACGAGTAAAATTACATATATTTGAACTACTTTTATCATTCTGTTCTAGGTGCATAAGATTTTATTTAGGTATCTAGTCACTTAATAAAGAAAAATAAAGAACTAACTCAAAACTAGTACAAAATCTACGAAGCTGTAGAAGTTAAGAAGAAATTTAGCTTCTTTACAGAAAAAAAGAAATTTTTTTATTAGCCAGCGTCATTAAATAGGAATTGTTTCCAGTTGTCGCATAACATTTGCATGATTTTATCAATTCAAATCACCAGGTTAATTAAGTCGTTTTTTTAGATTTACAAGAAAATTAATATTAATATTAATGTGACGCACTTCCTACTGAAATACGTTGACCAAGACGTCAAAAGAAGTATTTATTCGAAATAATCTCACAAAAAAAAATTGTCTTCGTCCCTGTCAAAAAATTAACTTTTACCAAAATATTTCTATATATAAAGGTACCTTTTACGGATCTTTACAACATAAGTAAAGTGAAATGTAAAATTCAACAATACAATAACCTTGAGTTTTAATGTCAGGCATAGATAACTGTTATGTATTGTGCTAGGAATAAAAATAACCGGAGAAAAAAATTGACCCAAGATGTAGACAATACATCTCCTATACTTAGAAGCGTAAGCAGGGGATTTCCTGTTAAAGAAACTTTTATGAGAAAAGAAAACACGAAGAATTTTGAACAAGATTTTTGATTTAACCAATACAGTTATCTGGTTCATGCACCTTTTTAAACGTCTCGTATAAACGATGACGTCATTAACATTCTAGAGGGGATGAAAACAACATAGATACGAAAATTAATTTACTGTTTATGTCACCTGTAATTTGTGTGTGTAAGTGTTACAAAAACATTATTGTGGTTGCTATAAATAACAAATATTACTTTGTTGCACAGACTGACGTCCATTATTTCCGCATGAATGTCTGTCGTTAAAAATTAGTAATGCTGGCATTGGTGATTAAACAACACCAGTCCTCTAGGATGTAGAAACTGTACACACACGATTAAATAAATAATTACCTTTTCAGCCAATAAATAATCACAGTGAGATTACTTCCAGATAAAATTAAAGGCCATGGTAGTAATTATTAATTTATCTGAAATTATGGCAACAATGACGTGATTTTGGGCTGCCTTTGGGATAATTACCACAATCCCGGATGCAGCAACTACCATAAATAACGAAATATAAAAAAGTGCAACAAAGGTAAAACGTTCGACTTAAACGAAGAGAGAAAGTTTATTACGTACATTTTTTACCCAAAACGAACCGCCGCGCATACATTATCCAACAGGTTTAAACACGTCATTGTTCGACATTATCATACCGAATGTATCTCTATCTGCATTCAGTTTTTGTTTCATCTAAAAAACTTGAAAAATTACTTCGACCATATATCCCTCTCGATCAACCTTGAATCCCGCTTAGTATGCAACAAACAAAATGCGGATTTTCTTACGTTTTTATTAAAAACAAATCACAATTCATCATGTATAACAACAGGTCCGGCTACGTAGTTGTACAAATCACTAGGCACACTGGCGTTGTATAGCTGTCTAGCTAAAGCCCAATATCGCTTGCGCAGGTGGTGGGCGCTGGATTTAGGTTGGCGGCTTCTGGTAAAGATACCTTTTTTGTTACCACCGACTCTTGTGTAAGCTAAAACAACAAAGTCAACTTTGGGTGTGAATTATAGTCGTCGACTTACTCTGCGCCGTTTTAAAATCGGCGAAATTCCAGATGAATTCTCCGATAAAGAACCCTTTGGCTCGCAATTCATCAAAAGCTTGGAAGTGTTTTGACATCAAATGTACCTGGTACTCCTCCGACCAAATGAATTCGGGAGTCTAAAAAACCAAGTTTAAAAGGAATTAAATATTTATGTGGGTTCGTACGAAGTGAAGGCCTTCGAGAGTATCTCCTCCATACTCTTGCATGATCACCGGTTTGTTGAATTTTTCATGCCATGCAGTAGCTTCCCCGACCACACTCAATGGAATCGCATCTAAATTCCCACCATTGGCGTACCATCCGTTGTATCGATTGAAACTGACAATGTCCACAAACTCTGACTGAAATTATCATTTAGATACGAAACTACTCAAAAGGGAGACTTACAGATTCCACGTTATTGACAGACTGTGCTTCCGCAATCGTCGTTGGTCTCGTGATATCAAGGTTCTTGATATGATCGATAACTTCTTTGAAGTAACTTTTGGCAATTGGGTACTGAGTCCTTGGTTCGTTGGCAGCGGACCACATAATCACGCTTGGTCTATTTTTATCCCTCTTGATCAGCTCAGTCAAAGAGTTCTTGTGTTTAACCAATAGTGTGTCAAAGAAGAACTCCGTATTGACACTCGGACACTCATCTATGATCATAATACCTAGTTCGTCCGCCAAATCCATAATTTCTTCAGCGTATGGATAGTGTGAGGTACGATAAGCATTTGCTCCTATCCACTTAATCAAGTTGTAGTCCCTCACTATCAAAGGTAAGTCCAAACCTTTGCCTCTTATATCCGAGTCTTCGTGGCGACCAAAACCGTGAAGATACACAGGGCGATTATTAATCAAAAGAGACGTGTTAGTCCACGTGACAGATCGGATACCGATCGGTTGGCTATACTTGTCAATCAAGTCACCATATTCACTTAATAGCTCCACTTGTAAAGTGTACAAATAGCCTGGATTGGGGTCCATCAAATAGGGCCACCAGAAATGAGCATTAGGGACCTCCAGAATCCCGTAAGGCTCATCATATTCGTCACTCATGGCCACAACGTTACCTTTTTTGTCGATAAGGCTCACGCGACAAGTGACGTTAAAGTCGCTTATGTAGGTTATTTTATAGTCTACGAATCCTAAAACAAGGTGTGATTATCGTCGAATTTAGGTCTTGTGGGAGTGCGTACCTACGTCGCCATCCACCTCAGTGGCGACACTAATATCATCTATGTAGTTCTTTGGTGTAGTGTAAAGAGTTACAGGTCTATCAATACCTGCGTAGTTGAAGAAGTCAAAGCTGTAAAGTTGTACCAGTCTTCCGGTTTCTAGTTCGTCTACTTTGCCTTGCGGGACCGTGTCGGATAAGAGGGTATTGTCACAGGCTACCGTTATCAGATTTTCTTTGCCATACTTAAGGAAATTGGTGACTTCTGCCAAGAACGGTAAGTGACCGATTTCGTGGCTCATCACCAACTGACCATTTATCCACTGGAAAAATTCGTCTCAAGAAACAGTCACACGAGTTGTACTACTTACCACTTGAGACGCATAAGACACCGAACCGAACCTCAACCAAACCCTTCCAATTTGGTACCAAGACTTCGGCACGAAGAATTTCCGGTCATACCACACCAACCCAACGTGGTCCCGAATTTGCCCGCTGGTGGTGATATCGTTGTAGCTGCTTGGCACCGGCATCATATACACCTCAACATCTGTCAACTACCAACAATATTGTCACTACACCAGAGTCAATAAAGCGCAAAATACCTCCTTCAGGTGTCTTTTATACCAATGCTCGTCAAAGCCTTGAAGCGGATTATTGGCTTGTGGTACCACGAAGTTCCACAGACCATCCAAAGACACCACCTGACGGGTTTCGGACTGACGAGGGTACAAAATGCCGCCGTGGTGGGTTTCCGATTTGACTTGCAGCAAGAGGGATAAGATCAGAAATCGTCTGTCCATTTTGTGGTCTCTGTGGAAAAACTGGACGTAAGTTTCTAGTGTAAGGATGGGTTTGAAGCATTACTTGGGTCGACATTTTCACGAAATGGTAGTGTTAAGAGGAAAATGCGTTTTTTGAAAGAATCACCTGGCGCTCTTTTCCTTACTTTCCATGGGTTTTTCTTGTGATGACTCGATAGTGTCAATAGTGTCAACTTAAATTTGTTTGTCACTGATGCTATCTGTTAGTGGATAAGTTTGTTGTTATCGTAGCGGCGGAAATGAAGTCGTACGATTGATTATCGTCAGCACGTGGTAGGAAACGGGCGATGGAAAATCCCCAAAAATTTTTCTGAGCTGGCATGGATTTATCTACACGGTTGATTAAAAAAATATTGTTGTATTAATTTTTGCTAATTTTATATGTGTGCCATAAAAAATATAAAGTGTTTTTCATTTTAAAATTTCCGCCAATATGACGTCACGAGCCTAAAATGCGTCCTCGTCTAGCGGACCTACCACGTGATGAATCGTGAATCTACGCGGTAGGTGATTGAGGGAAATGTGGCTGTGGTTCATAACCAATCAGGGAGCTCAATTTTGTCATAAGTGACAATTTGACAATCAAGTGTACTATCATAAAATTTTAAATGCTGCCAACCAAATTAAGACTGCAAAAAATACAAAATTCCTGCTGGAGATTCACCTTTAAAATGAAAAAATTTAATTATGTAACCTGCTGTCAAAGTGTTAGGGTGTTTGAAAATGAAAACTAGTTATGTCTTGAAATGAGTGAGTTTGTTGGCAATCCTGGATTCTTAGATGAAATTGATATATACCATGTTTTCGATAATTTCCGATTGTCAAGATTGACAGATTGTTGACATTTTTAAATTTGCAAAATAGAAAAATAAAGATTTAACAATTAAGCTCCGCCCCTCGCCTTACGACGAATAAAAAATCATCAGAAATGAGATAGGGCGGGTGGGCGGGGCTTATATTTTGCTTTTTTTTCTTAATATACATGGCCATCTGTTCACAATAAGAAATTTTCCATTTTAAAGATATTTTAAGTTTCATGTTGTGAAAAGAAGTCTACAGATATTAAAACAAAAAGGCAAATTGTAAGCCCGCCCACCCGCCCTATTTCAATTGTGATGATTTTTTTTATTCGCCGTGAACCAGGAGGGCGGAGCTTAACTGCAAAATACTTATTTCTTTACAAGAAATTAAAATGTTTTTGAGTATCGTGTTGTTAAAAGAATACTATGTACATTAAGAAAAAAAGGCAAAATATAAACAAACAATTTAAAAATCCAACATTTTGGAAGTTAATTCTAAATAAATCTAAAAAAAATTAAAATTTTCTAAAATTAAAAAATAAAAAATTCAAAAATTTGAAAATTCAAAAATTTTAACATCAAAATTCGAAGAATTGAAGCAACAAGAAACTGAATGATCGAAAAATTGAAACGAAAAATTAAAAAAAAAAACAAGAAAACGTTAGTTAAAAAATACAAAATTTTGGAACTCACATAAAAAAATTGTAGATCTAAAAATTAAAGATCCAAAAGAATTGAAAAATCTAAAAAATGAAGAAACGAAGAAAAAAATAAAAAGTTTGAAAATTCGAATATCGAATAATCGAAAAAATCCCAAATCGAAAATTCCAAAAATCGAAAATTTTAAAAATTTGAAAAATTGAAAAATCGAAAAAAATGATACCAATTGAAAATTCGAATATCGAAAAAAATCGAAAATCCGATGAATGAAATAACAGAAAACTTGAAAATCCAAGAAATCGGAAAAGGAAAATCGAAAATCTAAAAATCCAAGAATGAAAATATAGAAATAAAGAAATATAGAAAGTTGAAAAGTCGAAAATTCTAGAATCGAAAAATCAAAATTAAAAAAATTTGAATATCGAAAAATCAAAAATTCGAAAAATGGAAAAATCGAAAATTCCAAATTTGGGAAATTGAAAATTTCGAAAAATCGAAAAGTCGAAAAGTTGAAAAATCGAATAACTGATAAATTGAAACAACGAAATATTGAAAAACTGAAACATCGAGAAGTCGAGAACTCGAAAAATAAAAAAATTGAAAAGTAAAAAAATGAAAAACCGAAGAATGGAATGGGGAAATCGAAAAATAAAAAAATTGAAAATTTGAAAATCGAAAGATCAAAAAGTAAAAAAAATTCAAAGTTTGAAACTGAAGAGCGGAAAAATTGAAAAAATCACAAATCAAAAATTCCAAAATTCGAAATTTTAAAAACTGAGAAACTGAATAGAAATGAAACCAACTGAAAATTCGAATATTGAGAAAAAATCGAAAATTCGATAAATGAAATAATAGAAAACTTGAAAGTCCAAGAAATCGGAAAAGGAAAATCGAAAATGTAAAAGTCCAAGAATGGAAATACTGAAAAAAAGAAATATAGAAAATCGAAAAGTCGAAAATTCTGGAATCGAAAAATCAAAATTAAAAAAATTCGAATATCGAAAAATCGAAAATTCGAAATATGGAAAAATCGAAAATTCGAAATATGGAAAAATCGGAAATTCCAAATTTGCGAAATTGAAAATTTGAAAAATCGAACAGTCGAAAAGTTGAAAAATCGGATAACTGAGAAATTAAAACAACGAAATATTGAAAAACTGAAACATCGAGAAGTCGAGAACTCGAAAAATAAAAAAATTGAAAAGTAAAAAAAGAAAAACCGAAGAATGGAATGGGAAAATGGAAAAATAAAAATTTAAAAATTTGAAAATCGAAAGATCAAAAGGTAAAAAAAATTCAAAGTTTGAAACTGAAGAGCGGAAAAATTGAAAAAATCACAAATCAAAAATTTTGCAGTTGAGCTCCACCCTCTTGGCTCACGACGAATAAAAAAATCATTACAATTGAGATAGGGCGGGTGGGCGGGGCCTATATTTTGCCTTTTTTATTAATATACGTAGTCGTCTTTTCAGAACAAGATACTTAAAACATGTTTAAAATGGTAAATTCTTGTAGACAAATATAGATCTTGCAATTAAGCTACGCCCCTCGATCTGACAACGAATGAAAAATTCATCACAACTGAGAAATGAGATAGTTAGAGGCGGGTATAGGTGGGGCCTAATCTTTGGGTTTATTTTTTTCTTAATATACATAGTATTCTTTGAAAAACACGTTACTGAAAATCATGTTTTTATTTTCTCGTAGAAAAATAAGAATTTTGCAGTTAAGCTCCTCCCTCTTGGCTCACGACGAATAAAAAAAATCATCACAAATGAGATAGGGTGGGTGGGCGGGGCTACATTCTATCTTTTTTTCTTAATATGTGTAGACTTATTCCTTTTCATTTCTGACCACGCGGTATTTGAGACGGAAATTCCATTCTAGAAGGAGTCTACATAACGTTCCCATACCTCGTGTTTAGGAGCTTACCAAGCCAGCCTTCAAAACCGCATTATTTGAGAGATCGTTTACTTTTCAATGTATCAAACTACACAATACTATTGATTTTTTTAGAAATAATTTAACCTTGAATGGCTTCCGCCTAAAATTATGTTCTGTTATGATCTATTCTGTTAAATTTTAGTTAAATCTATATAACGGTTGTTCACTGACAAAATCATCAAGATGGCGTTGTTTTTACAGTATGATCCAAAACTTATTAATCTAGACATCCAGATTTTTGGAAAAAAATTTAAATTAAATAATTTTTTTAAACATTAAATTTCAATGCTTGTCAGATTACTTTTTTCTCGATCATATGATACCATATAAACAACGAAATTTTTAATAAAGGTAGGCTGTGATTAATACACGTAAGCCTCCCTTGACCAATTTTTTTTTTTTAATCATACAGATATAAGATATAAGACTACTGATATTATTCAAATTTCTACTACTATGTGACTTCACTTCCAATCTAAAATTGCATCTTACTAGAGTTTGATTTTTAATTTCCGAAACTACTGGAGTAAAATTTGTTTAATCATTACAACCCACAATGTGGTGACGCACCTCAAAATTTTGCGTAGCAAATGTTATGTAAATTTTACCAAATAACATGGTCCTAGACTCCTGGTTTAGGAATCCGTCCTAAATACGGTGACAAATTTTAAGATCATCAAAGGTCCGAGTATTAAATTTTAAAACCATCTTTTGAAAAAGTTGTATCAAAAAATTATTTCTAGTGATTTATCAGAGATGTTCATAACTGTCTTTCAAAACAAAAAAGGTGCTACTTTCAGAGATAATCTTTTCTTCCCACGAAAACTTTTCCCGTGTTTTTGCCATTATAGTAACCGAAAGTGTATTCGTCGATTGCTTAACACACGCCAACCATTCTTTCAGGCAGTTTGTTACAAAATCAACATTGCAAAAATCCTTCTCGAGAACACTACAAAACCAACCGCAGACCAAACAGCCCCGAGAACGAAAATCCTTAGGCCAAGGCGTGTCCCAAGCAATCTGTCATTCCCCAATGACATATTTTTGTGGTTGAACGGGTTTTACCAGTGGACTAAAATCATTACAAGGAGAATAGGTGAACTTTTTCCACGTTTTCTTAAAAGTCCACGCTGGATGCATTTGGAAATTTTCAACCACACACGCCAGTTTCCCGACGATAATTTTTTACGGAAATTTTTTGTATTTTTAAAATGTCAAACAGGTAATCAACCTTGTGTACACGTGAAAAAATCAAGTTCGAGGTCATTTTCAAAAACAAATCTTGCAAAAACACCAGTTCATTGAATTGTCGATAATTCTATGACATCATGACTAGATCATCTCAAACAGCTTATACAGACGAATCCGTCTCAAGTAGGGCCCGTCTTGATGTAAAGTTCAGATACCTAGCTATTAAGAATTCGATGAGATCACCTTATTCTTATGTAAAGGCAAATTATATGCCGACAAGGCAATTAATCGTACACTGATCCTAATTGAGGCCAATAAATCGATGAGATGAGTGTTGACCCCTGGTGGCCCGCCCTTGGACGGCCCTTTTCACAATAAAAACACAAACAACTGAATGCACTCTGCCCTTTGGATTTTAAGCGACAGTGAATGTTTAAAGCAAACACTACAGTGAAGTTACGTGAGTTTTTAAGTACCGGTAGCCCACTTTCATGCACTTATTTATTATGCATTTCGCTGAGCAATAAGTGCCATTTTTGACATTTATCCTAACTTTATAGCGCCAATAAATCAAGCTCGTGTTTCAAAATACAGCCAGTTTTTAATAAATGTTAGATTCTGCATG